ACGGACTCTTCAGAGGTTTGTCCGAGTCATACTTAGCCGAGAGGCCCATGGCGAATTACGGTCCCCCCCACTATAGTTTCTCTTCGTTCTGAATTTCCCTGGTCGAATTTTGGCCCATACATTGGTATCACAGATTGGAATAAAAAATCGAAGAAATCGGGTGTTTCTCAATTTTGGTGGGTTTATGCTTTACACTAATAGCTTGTTTGGATGCCTCTTATATATTGTTTTATAATGTATCGTATGGTATTGTATTATATCGATTTGATTTATATAATGTTTGGATGGATAGTATAGTTTGTCGTCGTTTCATGATGTCATGCTCCAATAATATGAAGAATAAACTTGTAATAGTATAAAGAAAAAGTAAGGTACGAGGTAGAATTATTATATAAAAAGGTATGACAAAAGATAAAATAAGATTATTTAATAATAAGGAAGGACAAGATGAGAGAAAAAAAGATAGAAACGACGTGACTACACCAAATTGGGTATTCCATAAAGTGGCACTTTGCGTCGTTACATAACTACGAATTTAATGATAGGATACAATAAAATTTAGGTAACAATCAAAACAAGTGTTGTATTTAAAGTAACAATACGGTACATTACAATTTACAACATGTGATAACCATCCAAACAAGGTGTAAGTAAATAAAAAATATTTACGACTTTCAGTATTTCTTTTCCCTTTTTTCTTCCCTTTCTTATTCAAAATTAACGTTTCTTAGAAGAGTTCCAAAATTCCTTAGAAAATCTCTATCACAAAGATTTCAGATACAAAAAAGGATATTAGGAGCTTAATTGTTCAAGAATATATTATAGCTTAGGAAAGGACCCTCGAAAAATATTTGACAAAGAGAACAAGAGATCAGTTGAAGAAGAAAATTTAGCCCTTGTAGCAGACTACAAATTTACGCACTAGAAATTTTTTTCAAGATCTAAGTGTAAAAACAGATGCAAGCATATGTTAATATTAAAACAAAAGGTAGAGAAGAAAGTATAGCGATTTCTGAGGAGGGTTGAGAACCATGAGGTCAAAGGTCCAAATCTCTATGAAAATATTAGATGAGTTTTCTCCATATGTCCCAGCTTTGGTAGACAGATTATCTGATACTTGTGTTGGTGGGAGGTAGCAGGTATCCGGCGAAATTACTTAAGCTGGCGCGAACAGTATTGTTATCCGGAAGAAAAAGAAATATCATTCTCTTAACATAAACAGATGATTAACTACTCCGTGTTATATTTCAGAGATATCGAAATTCCCCGATATTTATTCCACTCAACATCAGAACTGCTGCATCTTGATCGAAGATTTTACATTATGATTGCATAAGAACCTTAATTAACTTATAGTGTTAGAGAAACCTAAATTTGTCTTAAATACGTATAAATTATTGAACATTAAGGTGAAATGAGTCCAAACGAAGCCCAATGATATATGGAGGACGCATACAACCGTAGTTCTGGTAGTGTATCAATTTGAGAAAATCTCAATTTATACCTATTAATTCCAAACTATTTACCCTTTAATGCTCAGGCTCAAACTATTTACTACTTCTACCCATGCTGCCCAAACTATTTACCCGGTTATTTCCCAATAATATGAGGGAGTAATAATTGGAATCACGTGCAGCTTGTCCCTCATCTCAACTGTTTCTCTAACTCTTACCCCACTCTGCTCTTTTTTCATTTGAAGCAAAAACGACAATCCAATTTCAGCAATCAAAAATTCAAATCTTGTATTTAGAGATGATATGCTTTCTGTATACACCAGTAAGCTTCCCAGTTGCAGCCTTCTGATGGAAAGAAATCATCAGTCTTGAGCACTCCCTGTTATATATAAAAAAAAAACGAACCACAACACTCAGAGGGCTCTCTTTGTGTATTCGATAAAAACAATTCATTGATTCAAACAAAGAAAAGTAGATAATGCTTACAAAAACAATTCTTTCTTTCTCCCAAACTGGTTTTTGGAGATTTATTGTACAAAAATTCAAATACACCATTGAAGGACCTTGAAGCTTGAAACTCATAACTTGGTTTGTTCGAGTTTTTAATTATTTTGATCCGATCCTATATGGGTTTGTTTGGAAAGTTGATTGGAGGTTGTATCTAAAGTTTTAGTCAATTTGGTGGAGATTTTGTAGTAGATTTTAGAAGTTTGGGTTGAAATATAGTTGAACAAGAGAAGAAGACGAATTTGTATTCTATACTCAAATAGTATACAATATACCATTTTGGTATACAATTCATTGCAACTATATACCCTATTAGTAGCTATATATTATATTGGTATCATATGCTAATTGATTCATTTTTTGGTTGTTAGCTGCATTTATTAGTACTATATTTGATTTTATTTTAATAATAGGAATATAGTACAATATCTTGAAATGCTTTATTATATTAATTTATGGTACACTATATTTTTATTTTTCTCTTTATGCATGTGTGTTATGTAATAGTAGTATAGTCATATAGTTGTCGGTAATTAACCAGTAAAACTGTATACCATGTTGGTATAGTTATATGCCATATTGGTATCATATGGTAGTTTGAACATTTTTTGGTTGTTTTGGCTGCATTTTAAGTAAATTCTATTCTGAAATTATTTATATGAACGTGATTTGCAGTGCTGAAATTTTTTTGTGCTAATAGATATAGATTATGTGTCTTATGTAATAGTTTTTATAATTATAGGCAATTGTTGGAACGACCCATACACCTATATGCCATGTTAGTATATGGAATGAGCAAGTTGCTTAGCGAATATTTAGCTTGCAACGCGAGCATGTAATTTTCTCATACTGTTATTGTATCCTTTAATGTTTTGGTACAATAGTATAGTCACAGATAGTTGTAGCAATATTCTAGAGCAATCATATACTCTGTTGGTATAAATGTATACCATATTGGTATCATATGGTACTAGAAGTCTTTTTTGCTACTTATATTTTTATTGTATTTTCCAATATTTTATTATTATTTCTATTCTAACTAGTATATATGGAGATTTAGTGGCCTTAGATTATGCTTTCTTGCTCCATCACTGGTTGGTGTTACTGCTAATGGTAGAGTATGTACTGATATTTGTAGGGAAGGGGATTAAGGTTTGTATAGCAATCACGTGGAATTAGAAAAGGAATAAGAAATAAAGAAAAAAAATAAAAATAAAAAAATAAAGAAGGAGTCAAATTAGAGTGTGAAATAAGTTATGGTAAAAATATCAATAATACGATTTGGGCAAAAATAAATGAATAAAAGAGAAAAAAAAATAGGAAGAAAATGAGAAAAAAAGAAAGGAGAAAAGACAGAAAAAAAGGAAAAAAAGAAAAAAAGCATAGAAATAAAAAAGAATTTGAGAATAAAGAAAAAATTCCCCACAAAAATTACTATGGGTAGGAAATGTAATTAGTTTATGGGTAGAAAAACAAATGGGTAGACAAGGGTAAATAGTTTTATTTGTAACTGTGTCAAAACCCCTGTCAATTTCATAAACCCTGACCACAACCCCAAACGGATTTAGTTTGTTAATCTTCCCCTTAAAAGCTGATAAAATATCCTCCAAAAGCAGCGTGTTAACAAATTTAATAGCTAGAGGGTGATATAAGATAGAGCATGAATGCATCAACCAACCATCTACTAAGAGTTGATATATTCGCAGATTCGTAACTTAAATTAAAGAGGACTACTACTGTATTCCCGCTGGACAGGAAAACCAAATGAAAAAGAAAACAAATGTGAAAAATACGCAAACCAAAAAGAAAAACAAATCTATAAAGAAGAAGAGATCCAGTTCTAATCGCCAGCGGATCAGAGCAGATAATAGTGAACCACAAAATATAAATTAAAAGAAATAGTCACCATAAGATTACCTTTGTGCATCACAAGATAGTTCTAACACCAACTAAATAATACATGAACCATATCGGGACATTTGCATCTATACCCGCTTTTTGTGTCACATTTTAATTTGTGCCCGCTTTGCAAAAAAAATTGCAAGCGTACCCGCTTTTTCGCATAACTTCAGCACACGGGGCTGAAGTAGCAAAGGCAATCACACAAAACTTCAACATTCTAGTAGCCGGGCCTAGAGCTGAAGTTTTTGTTTTGTAACTGGCGAACTTGTAACTGGGAAACTTCAGCTCTAGAGCTGAAGTTTTTGTGTTGTAACTTGGAAACTTCAGCTCTAGAACTGAAGTTTTTGTGTTGTAACTCTGCAGCTCTAGAGCTGAAATTTTTGTGTTGTAACTAGAAAACAAGAACACGACAGATTGATAATTATTCTATTGTACGAGGTGAGAGGAATGGCTGGTGAATAGAACATGATGATCCACAAACATCATTATTGGCTGAGACAAATGGTACCTTAGAATTTTGTTATAGATTCTAATTTCTATCTGACTTGGTTTTCTGATTTGTGTATGGCTCATTTGTGTAGTTGTATACTCTGATGATATTATTGGGAAAAAGGGAACAAAATGGAGTGCAGTGGCGCATATAATAACAGGAGTAATAGGGGCAGGGGTGTTATCACTTGCATGGAGCATAGCACAATTAGGATGGATAGCAGGTCCTTTGGCTATTCTCTTCTGTGCAGCAGTTACTCTTTTGCAACATCCATACTTTGTGATTGCTATAAATCTCCAAATTCTGCAACACAGATTTATAGGAAGACAGTAGAAGAATTAATATTTAAAAAGGCAAAGGAAAATCAAATATGGCATACGGAATGGTCGTCCTCTTGCTTGACAACTCAGTCAATTGCTTGTTTGCATATTTCAGCTATTTATTTCAGAAGAAGAAGAAAACGAAGGAGGAGAAGAAGGAGGAGAAAGGGGGCTGAAGTTATTTAAGAAGTGGGTACAAGTTAAAAGTTTTAAAAAAAATGGGTATAGGTTAAATGGGGGCGACCAAATAGGGCGCCCCGTGCAATTTTTACACCATATCTGCATCTTCAAGTAGCATCACCCATTAGAGTTTGTTATTCAGAGACATGTTTAAGCAGAATGTCATACATGTTGCACGGGGCCATAACAAATTATAGCAAAAAATCATTACATGCACAACGCTGTTCAAAAATAGAAAACTGCAAGATACAACAAATAGTGATCAAATACGGCAGCTTCATAAGTTATTATTAAAATAAATACTCACTCCTACTTCTACAAACAGCACATAGCAGCACCAGTAGCAACCGTGCTATCATGAATAACAAACATAGACATAGACAGCTTTTCGACTTTAGCAAGAATCAAGTTTTGCCAGAGTTTACTGAGTCTCACATACATCATAGTAAGAATAGCATTAACAAGCCAACTTCACTCTGCTCTGGACTGCCCAGCTCGTGAAGACAATATAATTCCAACAATAAGCCCATAAAGAGCCAAAGCTTCAGCAAAAATGAGAATGAGGATCATCCCAACAAAAAGCTTTGGCTGTTGTGCATTAGCCCTGTAAAAATAAAAATATTGTTGAGTACATTAGCAATAAAATGCAATCAACATGACACAATGCAATAATAGCGCCAATGACGTAAACAGAAGAGAATAGTAAATACAATAATTAAGATGCAGTAGCCCTAACAATGACTCACTGGTTGCTTAATTTCTTCCAACAAAAATGAGACGCCCTAAGAAAAGGCAACTGTGGACCTTGCACAGTTTGGCTTCACCACTTAAAGAAGCCAGACAATAATTGAGAATGATAATCAAGCAAAATGTGTCTGACAAAACGTGAAGATATATGGCAAAGAAATCAGAGAAGAAAACAAAGGCATCATGGATGGAAGACCTAAAGTATGTTGAAATATACTAACATGCTGCAGCATTATCAGGAGTACAAATTACATTTTCTGGATCAGTCATCCATCAAATGCAGATTCCACGTCAGGAAAGCCCATTGCTAAAATAACAAACACTTTGAAGGACACCATAGGTACTAACTATCAGCTGACCTTCAACTGCAAGAATACTTTTTATTTTTCCCTTTACTTCCCCTCACTTTATTAGGAGAAACTTTTCTGCAGGACATCATGGAGCTCAATCTAGTGTCTTTCATTTTTCTTTTTAACAGTCTTTTCCTTTAGAGCGGGTTGGAATTGGAAAAGGCAAATGAAATGAATCAGTGGCCTTTTGGCTAACCAAAGGCAACAATTTATGTAAGAAGAGGGAAATTAACCAAAATCATGGGAGACACCCCATCATGTCCAAGCATAATAACTGCATCACACAACGGAAAGAAGAGTATAATTGCAGAAGATTTCTAGATTGTCTTGGCTTATTAAAAACCATATTCTGTATTGAGGCCAAAAATTAGAAACCTAATATCACTAACACCAATCACATTGACATGGAAAAAAATGAGGAGCCAGTCTTATAAAAGATATAAGCTCCCCTGTTATCTTAAGGAAACATAAAACTCGTCTCATATGTTCCAATCCTGCCCCCTTTTTAAAATCATTGCGCTGAGAAAATCTACAGAAATATCTGAGCAAACCCATAGTTTTACAAAAGGATATGTTGATATTACAAACCTCAGTTTTCTTCCAAAAGTTTACATCACCAAAAGGGAGAAAAGTTAGTCCTTTATCTTTTGAGCATCTTCTAGACTTTTTTTTAGGTTTCAACTTATTCATTAGCATATAAAATATCAACTTAATCATTTACATTACATGAAATGAAAAACACATATGAAAGTAAGTTGAAATATTTAACTGAAATGTTCGTCCAAGATGATTACAATCAAGTCAAAGAAAGATTATTAAAGATACAGAATTCTATAACATAAAATACATGCCAAAAGGAGCAAACACGCAGAGAGAAGCAGGATCAATCATCATCTGAATCTTTCAAACTAGAACTACCCCGCGATGTCAAGTATTCTCTAAACACAAACTGGTATTTGCTGAAGCCAAAATTGAAAAACTAAAAGAGGCAAAAAGTAGTGTTTAAAGGTGATGGCAAAATTATATAGTAGTCAGAGAAGAAGATGGCCTAAAAGAACAGATAAAGGCCACGCTTCGAAAAGGTAGAAGTTCTGTAAGGATAGAAGTGTAGCCAATCCTAAGCTCAAATAAAGGAAAAGAGTTATTGTAGGTTAAGTGCCAGCGTAAGATCAATCTGACGATAATGAATCCTCCAAATACTAAACGTAGCATAATAGACTCAAAGTTGATTGATTGATTGAATGAAGAGTGAATCGTGTAAACTTTTTGAAATAGCACTATATTCAAAGTAATAAGAATGACGGTCGGAAAGGTTTTATTTAATGAAAGTGCAGACAATTGTTGGACAACTCATAAAGAGAATAAATCAAATTTTCCTAGATCATAAACACTCAGTCTTCCCATTTTAGGTGATGTTTTGGCCAGAGCACGGAGTTTAATATGTTAAACTTGACTTAACAATGATATCAATGATAGACCAAAATAAAAAAATGACATGGGATGCCAACGTAGTTACATATGGCTCATTTTATTATTTGAGAGTTATAACTACACTGTCTTCAATGATAACATCTAATGTACATACATCTAACTAATGTTTGTGTGTAAGGTTGCTGGTAGTCCCAAAAGCAATGCTTACAATCTATTACAACAGAACTTCTTAATAAATACTTTGATAAGAGTGTTTGACCTGTTCTCGACAATTTGCTAACTGCAACCTAACCCATTTATTATCTGTGGTTTTGATTCTAACCTTCATTAGACATATAACTCGAGCCACTTAACCTTAGTCCTGCTGCATAATTCCCGATATAACTTTGAAAAGTAAACAATAAAATTATTTCTAACCAAAATCAGACAAATTTAGATGATACACTAGAACTATGAAGTTTGACCTTAACAAAATTACCTAAGATGCCTTCCAATTCGCATGGTTAACTAGCTCGAAACAAAAGTTCACATTTATTTTATACTACCAACATCTTCCTATAAAGAAATCACAACTTAATGAGCATACATAGCAAGTATCTCGATCAAGATACAACATTGTAACCTTTGGAACCTATAAAAAGAGATAACAAGAAAGCTGAATCTTACCTTATTTTAACAAGTAATACAAGACAAATACTCAACTTCGCCTAATTCTCAACAATATAAAATCTCTCAGATTCAAGTCAACAGGCATTAGCATGAAAGTAATAATTGGACAATGAAGCAGCCAAAAAAGGATAAAACAAAAATAAAGGAATGAATACCTAACACCGGCATCACCAACAATACCAATAGCCATTCCAGCAGAAAGTCCAGCAAGACCACAAGCGAGACCAGAGGAGAGGTGAGCATATCCATCAAACAGGTAATACGACTTTGTTTTGGGATTAATACCAGTACTGATAATAACAGCAATAATCAAACCATAAATACCCAACACACCAGCCATAACCACGGGAACAATGGATTTCATCACCAGCTCCGGTCTCATCACTCCCATAGACGCCACTCCTACACCGCTCTTTGCTGTTCCGTATGCTGCTCCCATGCCTACGAAATATTCGACAAAATATCAATTAGATCTAAAGTATATTACGACTTAATGCGAATCTATAGATATAGATTTGAGAACTCACAGGAGAAGACGAGAGCCGCAGCGGCGCCGAGAAAGCCGAAGAAAGGAGCAGTTTCATCGCCGCTGAAAGTCGACGACATTGTTCCGATCGGATTTTGGATCTGAGAAATTGATTAGATTTAGATACAAGGAGAGTTTTATCGAGTATTTGTGTATGGATCTGATTTTATGCTATTGAAGTTAATAATTGAAATCTGGTTGATAAATAAAGTCAAGCTTCATACACGTGGCTTCCGTGTTCTGATGCAGTTGGGTTTGGGATTTTTTTTGGTCCCGGGATTTCACACTGTTTTTAACTTTTTAATTAGGAAAAAATATTATAGCCGCTTTAGAAAATAATAGACAGCAAATATATATATTATGTGTAATTAATATATAATATATATATATATATATAATAATAATACTAAATAATATAATTATTTTTAATTAAACGGCCAAATGTATGACTTTTTTTTTTTGTTTCTCATCCGGTGTTCGGTACCCACACATTGGGCCCGACTAAATTCGGATTCGCGCCAAAAAATCCCACATTGGGGTAAAGCGCTCCCTAACAAAGGCGACTTCATACCCAGGGATGAACTTACCACTCCACCACAACCCTTGGTGGTACCTCTCCTTTTTATTATACTCGCTGTGACTCGAACTCTGATTAAATAAAAGCCCTCGGTTAAATATAGTACTAACGTAGATTAAGTTAAAGTAAATACAAAATAAAGCTGAGACACTTTCGTTTGTCCACCAACTCATTCCCAGAGTTCACTTAAACAATGGGAAAAGTTCTTGTATTTTGTTTCAATATCTCATTTGTTTAATGTTCTACTTTTTACATTCCTTTGGAAAGTAACGAATATGATTTTTGTTTTTGGTATGCTTTGTACTCTAGGTTAGTTACTATTATTATAAATTACATGAAATTACATTATAACTAATTTAATTGAGTTTTAATAATTTTTATACCATCACTACATAAATTTAAACTCTAATAAGAAAGTCTCTTATACAAAACTAAAATATTATAGTCGGAAAGATCGACAAATCAATATCAATATAGGATATTAGAAACACTCACATTTTTTATCTATGAATTATGATCAATAATTCAGATCAAAATGATACGTTTATAAGAACTAAGTGTGATTTGTGAATATGCTTAGATGCGATGGATATGGGTGTTCATGGTTCGGTTTGGATCGGTTTTTCCCTAAAAAGAAACCAAACCAATTAGGTCGGTTTTTCAAATGTTAGAACCAAACCAAACCAAACCAATTAAGTCGGTTTTTTCTCGATTTGGTTTATGTCGGATATTGTCAATTTTTCGGTTTTTTCGGTTATTTGTCGGTTTTTTCTTAAATATAAGACATACACTACCAAACACATATTCCGGCGACCACATTATCAACGTAACACTATCAAATTGACTGTCCTTTGAGAAATCTATCATTTACCAAGATATATTGATGATAATTGAATCAAATAGTGATGAATAATTTAAGGACTCAACTAAAAATATATTATTTTTAACACGAAATGGATTCTTACACTTAACAAAAGAAAACTACCAATCAAACTAGAATGTAAAGGTAAAGAACTATACTAAGAGTGCAAAACTACTAACATTTAACATAAAAATCTTGAAACTTTGAATAAAAATATACATATATATAGGTATAATAATAAATTTGAAATAGCTACTCCTATAGTCAGTTTGGTTCGGGGTTTTTTCCGGTTTTTTTCTGATTAAAACCAAAACCAAACCAAATTTGATCGATTTTTAAAATTCAAAACCAAACCAAACCAAACCAAAAAGTATTGATTTTGTTGGTCGGTTTGGTTTGGTTTGATTTTTCGGATTTTTATAAACACGCGGATGCAATTTCCTTTTCCGAGTAGGAGTATAGCTATGAATCAAATTTATTTCATGGGCCGGAGATTGGCCCAAGCCCAAATTTCTTTACCGGACCGGCTGAACAACAGACAAATAGACCCATATAAGTACTTGCATCTCTTTCTGCACGAACTCCTCACTTTCTCTCTCTGAAGGAATCAAATTGTATGTTTCTCTTTTCCCCTCATAATTTTTCCTGTTCTGTTTGCTTCTTAAATTGACAACAAGCCTTAGCCCTTTTCTTTCTTTTTTTTTTTTTTTTTGATCCGTAAGTGTAAACACATAAATTTTGGTGAATTGGATTAATGCTATATTTGCTTCCTTTGCTTGTAGAAACCTTCTACTCTGATATCACCGTTCTCTGTAGTTTTTTCGAGTTAATATCTTTTCTTATTTGCTTGTCATGTGATAAAGGCTCGAACTTGTGACTGTGTTCTGAATTTTCTGGAAAAAATCTGAATTACTAGTACTAATTATAAAAAACATATCCTGATTGCTGAGTCATCCAATGATCAGCCATTGTTTTGAAAAGACTATATATTTTTGTAATATTTCTTTTTTGTTTACCGTTATTTTATAGGTTAGCTGAGACAGTTGAGTTCAGGTGATTCGGAGATAGCAATCATGGTAAATTTTCTGTTCTCCTCCGCTTCTTTATATACACCCGTGGTTGTACTATTTTTTTTTAAATTATAACTTAGTTGCCATTGTTTTAAGAATAAAAAGGGCTAGACCATATTGAGTTTATTGTATGCAGCATCGGGGGCGGAGCCACAGTGGCGGCTACCGATTTGGCCTAACCCAGTAACTTTTGTTCAAACCTTGTATTTTTTCGTATTCTTGAGCTGAGGATCTATTGGAAACAATCTCTCTATTCCCCGGGTAGGGGTAAGGTCTACGTACACACTAGCCTTCCTAGACCCTACTTGTGGGGGTTGTTGTTGTTGTTATTGTTGAACCCAGTAGCTTAAAAGGATTAGAATTCCAAACCCATAAGCCCCACCTTTGTGCAGCATTACTTTGCACTTTTGCAAGAAGCTAGGCTGTTTTCAGAATAGCATTTAATAATATTTTTCTCTTGAATAAAAGATGGAATTGGATTCTGACTGAAGCTATATTACTTGGGGTTTCTTAATTTAGTAAGAGCTGAAAATCTGACTGTTTGTTTTGGGAGCACGAAACTTATGAATAGAATGTGCATCAATAGGGGCACGTTTCCTCCTTTTGCGAAATTTCGAGAAAGGAGGAGGAAAATTGGCCAGTGGCCATTGCAGTACTTAAATAGGTTGAGTACCATTAAGGGACAAGTTTGTACATCTGCAACAGCGCAGGATTTTGTTTAGAGAAGCATACTATTGAGAGGGTACATCTTTTAATTGGAATTGGCTAAACCAACTTTGTTTTCCATAAGCTTCTCTAAACAAAGCCGATCATTCAGTGCTTCTACCTTCAGAGGAGCATCTTCTTTGTTGATGGCAGTGGTTCTTTTTTTGATGTTATTTAATTCTGTTTTGTAACCTTCACAAATCTGTGATTGTCTTTATTGACGTCTACGTTGTTTGTGTTATCTTCCTTTGTCATTGTTGTATTTTTTGGTTTGTGATCTGCAGTTTTTTGATGGATATGGATATCATGGAAGATCATTTGAACAGACGTACAGGTGTTATCCTGCATCATTCATTGATAAGGTTGGAAGGTTTTTGAATTCCTTTACTACTCTAATCTATTGTGCTAATTGTCTGTGAAGGTTTCACAAAATCCTTCTTGTTCCTTTGACTTCCATCAGATTGTCATTCTCACAATAGTCTCATTACATCTTATCTCCCAAGGTTGTGTCATTTACATTTTTTGTTGTTAAAGAGAAGGGGATAGCCTCCCTACTTTCTCAAGGTAGGGGTAAGTACTGCATACATACTACGTTTCCCAGACCCCACATGTGGGATTTCACTGGGTTTATCCTTGTTGTAAGGAGAAGGGGGTAGAATTTTTTTGTGATAAGGGGAAGGAGGGGGTTGGATTTAACTATCTAGCAGTTCTTTTTGCTGTAGTTGTACGTCGAAAGAGGTCTTTTTTTATACCTATATACATATATATGTACTTCAGATGTTTGTCTCATGTGTCGCCTTTTCAAATTGTTTTCGTATTTATTTTCTGTTACTTTTGCTTCAATTCTGATTCCGTTTGTTTCACACTTTGCAGCCACAGTTAGAAAATGGAGACAAAAGTAAGTAATGCCTATACCTTTTTTTCTTAAAAAAACATCTGTGATAGGTGATTCGATCTCTGAGTCTTATATTGCTTCTTTTTTTTCCAGTTATAATGCCTCCCTCTGCTCTTGATCGTCTAGGTCAGTTTGTTCTGTATCTTGGCATTATCAGTTATTTAGATTTTGCACCTTTAACAGTTGGCAGCTTGTCCTTTTCTTCACCTGTATATAACATTGAACGTAAATTTTGCAGCATCACTTCACATTGATTACCCAATGTTGTTTGAGCTTCAAAACGCTGCCGCAGAGCGGGTTTCTCACTGTGGAGTTTTGGAGTTCATTGCAGAAGAGGGCATGATATATATGCCATACTGGGTACGAGTTACTTCTGTGTAATCTTATTTTCTTCAGTTCAGCTTAACTGTTGCGCGTAAACTCATTAAGGTATGGGCCTTGTAGATGATGCAAAATTTATTCCTACAAGAAGGAGATATTGTTACAGTGAAAAATGTAACACTTCCTAAGGGGAAATATGTCAAGTTGCAACCGCACACAAAGGATTTTTTGGATATTTCGAACCCAAAGGCCATGTGAGTTTACTGGACTTTTGTTACTTTTCTGCGGTTCAATTCCATTTTAGTAATAATAAAATATGAAAATGTATCAAATTATGAAACAAGCGAATAGGAGATAATGTTCTTAAAAATAGGAGAGTGGGGTGTGGTAAAAATAGACCAAATCCATGTTCCTGAGTTAAGTGGAACTTAAGGACAATTTTGAGCTAAATCATTTAGGAGAGATCACGAAACTAATTCAATGGGATTGACACTTTATTGTTGGTGTACATCGGTAACTACTCACCATATGAACATTAGAGATTGAAAGTCTAATGTTGGTGCACTAGTCATTTCTCTTAACCAGTTAAAAAAGCTGAGTCAACTTTGAAGTGATATTGCTTCAGTACATGGATGTATAAGAACATAGAGCAATTTCACCTCTTTGTTGCTGGATTAACTTTTTGTGAGATTGTTTATTTGTTTATGAGGTAAATGCTTCCTTGTAGAGCTAGAAGCACCAAAGGAGTGTCGTCGGCAAAAGGGAAACATTTTGTTGTCCAGGATTGAAATAAGTATGTCTGACATGTAGCTAAGTAGAGAGAAAGGGCCTAGGGAAGAAGCATAAAGATCTAAGCAAGGAGTTCTTATTGTTCAAATACTTTCCGCATTAGCTTTTTCGTCGTTCTTTTAAATTGAGATAATGATAGTGGTAATGGTTGACATATCTCCTTCTACGAGTAAATGTGGAATTGAAATGATATTTTATAGAGGGATAAAACATGAATAATAATTAACTTTGTCTCTGTTACATTTATGAATATGCACAGATTTGACTTCCGCAAGTCCTAATCCATAGAGTCTTGCCCTTTATTCTAATTGCTCTAGTATTTGTATATTTCCTGCTTGAATACTAGGCATAGTTAGGTGAAATAATTGGCAAGTATAATTTATTTTCAGTTATAAATTTTTTAGTCTAAGGAGAATTACATCTGCTAACTGGTATAACCAAAGTTTGTTTGTTCAGTTGCTTATTAGTTTACTCTCATTTACAAAATATCCAGACCACATACTAATGGATGCTTTGACGTTTGAGTTCTTTCCTCACTGATGCAGCTTGGAGATGACACTCAGAAACTTTTCCTGCTTAACGACAGGAGATAGTATTATGGTGGCTTACAACAATAAAAAGTATTACATAGACATTGTGGAGACAAAACCTTCTAATGGAATAAGTATCATTGAGACAGACTGCGAAGTAGACTTTGCTCCCCCTCTTGATTATAAAGAACCTGAAAGAGTGGTTCCTTCTCATCCAAGCAAGGCTCCAGCAGAAGGTGCATATTCTTCAATGCTTTTTTTTTTTTTTTGACCGAGAAATCCGTCTAGGGTCAATAGGGCCAACCACAGCCTTTGAAATTCGGGGATATGGGCCCGCATCTTTACCCTTCTCCACTTAAATACCAGGCTTAGTTCGCATGGCGCAGGGCTTGACCTGTGACCTAAATCACAAGTTCCTCAACCTTTGCACTTGAACTAAAAATTATTTGATACTTCTCCCTCCAAGACAAATTTACTGAAATTAATGTTCTCCTTCATCTTCAAGAAGGACCACATATTATTGCTTATATTAGTTGATCATGCTGTAATACCTATCAACGGAGAACTCCATATTTCAGACATATTTAATTGTTCTTCTAGAAATACTGTTAATCAACTCCTGACACCTATTCAAACTATTTTATCTTATACTATTCAAATAACAGCAGCTAGTTGAGACGGAGGCAATATCTACCATGGTTGTAGAGACCAACAACAAATTCTTAATATGACCAGAGTTCCATGGCTATTGCGATTGCCTTTCTACAGTTTTAAGTTCATTTTATCTGTACATCTATGTGGTTAACAAAAGGGAGCTTGGTGCTCTTGGGAGTGCGATGACTTTATGATACTTCCATGTTGGGGAGTCTGGTGATATTGTTTGGCCAATTGTTATTTGGCCAGTATGCTGCAGTTCTAGGAGTTAGCTTTTCAACTGTAATTGCTATCCTGTAGATTACTGTAGACCTTGCTATGTCTGATCTTTGTTCTTGTAGCTTAATGATTTTTCGCTCATGCAGGTCAAGAGGCTGCAGCTGAACCAGAAGAGCCAAAATTCAACCCTTTTACTGGTGAAGCGAGACGTTTAGATGGAAAACCATTAAAACAGCAACCTCCACCTTTGTCCGCTTCTGGATCCTCAAACAAGCGAACCAATGTTACTAATGGTAGTGGGAAGTCTGCTTCTGCTGGTGCTGCTGCAAGCTCTCAAACTTCTAGTCGTCAGTCACAGGGGAAGCTTGTATTTGGCTCAAATGTAAATCGCGCTCCTGAAAAACAAAAGGTTTTATATCTCTATACATGCTAATATTCATAATCTTTATTTCTTCTCTCTTTTCCTTTTCCATGCTAATACAAATTCGACTGTTTATACCTCGGTTGCTACTGTATCTCACTCTCTTAATGCTCCTTTCCATATGCAGGAACCCGTGAAAGAGGAACCTGAAAAGAAAGAAGAACCCAAGTTTCAGGCTTTCTCTGGGAAAAAGTATTCTTTGAGGGGTTAATTGTGATATAATTTCGTTCTGTCTATTTACCTTTTTTGTATTAATCATTTCTCTTTTCAGTCAAATATCTGAATTATGTTTAACTTATTATATAATCTATAAAAAAATTAGGAGTAATCTTAGAAACTGTTGGCTGACGTAGACTCTCTTATAAAGCATGGAGTAATTTGTTCTCTCACTCTACTTGCCTTTTGATCACCGCATTAACCGTAGTTCTTATTTATTTTTTATATCTAAGCTTATTATTACCGAATAATATATTTTTCAAGTGAGATAAGATGAATTTCGTAAAATTTTCAATACTCTTGCATTAGTACTTGAAAGGAACATTCTGATATGCACTAGTACCAGTTTCAAGAAAATTTTAGTGTACAACACGTAATTTTCTTTTCTTTGTATTTTGTGTGAGAAGAAAAGGGGAGAAAAAAGAATCCGAAAAACCAATAAAATCGGGGGAAAATAGACTCTATGTAATTTGCCCTGGTTTGATTTGTATATTTTACGAACAAACAGATGTAGTGAATTTGGTTTCAATTTAGAGCCACCCATGATTGGTATGTCACGAGTCATTTTTCAAGAAAAAATATTTTTAGAAAATAATATTTTCTAAAAGATACTTTGGTATTTAATCGAGTGAAATTTGTTTTTGAAAAACATGCATTGAAAATTGATATTTCCTCTGTTTAAATTTACGTATCTTACCTTTTTCTTTTTAAAAAAAATTGTTTTAAAAAGAATATCTTTTTATATTTAATATCTCTTCAATTCTAACATTCACATGCCACCTTTAATACCACAAGATTCAAAAAAATTCACTTTCTTAATGTAATTTTTGAAGTCTAGAGTGTTCATAACAGTATGATTGACACTTTCTATCGGTAGTAGGTTTTTATGACTAACCATTGTTTTCTTTCGTTGTTGATCACCTTACAATCTTGTGTTTTTATTTTGCTTTTATATGGCTTTTTGGTACTGTTCCTTCTTGTCTATATTTTTATTAATGTGGTGCTTATGCTTTCCTAATCTATGCGTACACACTACCCTCCCAGACTCAACGGTGTGAGATAATACTGGGTGTATTGTTGTTGTTGTTGTTGTTGTTGTTGTTGTTGTTGTAGTAATGTAATTTTTGAAGTATTGGAAATTGAATGTTTTTTGTAACAGTTATATTAACAGCTTGTTTGGATGTTGTTACCTATTGTATTGTATTGTTTCTTTAAATACAATATTTGTTTTAGTTGTTACTTAAATTTTATTGTATTGTATCGTTAAATCTGTCGTTACATAACGATGAAATGTGCCTCTTTATGTAATGACCGATTTGGTGTTGTTGCGTCGTTATCTTGTCTTTTTCTCTCATCTCACCCTTCACTATTATTAAATTATTTTATTTTATCATTACCCTACCTTTTTATATCATAAATTAAAGTATCATAATTTTCTTTATAATATTGCAAGTTTATTCTTCATATTGCCGGTGCGTGATATCATGAAACAACAGCAAACGATACAATCTATCCAAATATTATATTTATCAAACGATATAGTATAATACAATACAACACAATACATTATGAAATGATGTGTGACAACCATCCAAACAATCTATAAGTTAATAGTTGAAATAATGTGAAAGAAATACTTCATACAAAAATGAGGAAGATTATTTTTCTCATCTTTGTGGGAATAAAATTCTAGGAAAATATTTTTTGGCTATTAAACACAGGATTAATATTTTGCTAAAAAAATATTATTGAAATTTAAATAGTTAACCCCAAATAAATGAACTCATACATACTCTCAATTATTACCTTATCCATTACTTCAAAAATCAAACAAAAAGAAAAGCCTCATAAAAATTTGGTGCTCTTTGGAATAAGATAATCAAAAGATAAAACCTTTAATTAAACTTTTCTATTTTCTCCCCCTTTTTCATTTCTTTGTATAGAGGCAATTGCAGTTGAGCTCTAGGGTTTAAGAAAACGGAGATGGCGATGACACAGTGGTGCAGCGCAGCAGCGCGGAGAATGCTGACGATAGCTACGGAGCAACGAATGGCATATTCATCATCTCCAGCTGCCACATCAGCGGCAATGGGAGGTCCGATTCTGTGCGGACGAGGAGACAAAAGGACGAAAAAAGGGAAGAGATTCAAAGATTCATATGGGAATTCGAGACCCAAAAAGGAGAAGAAGATTGAACGGATCAAGGATAAAGTTGAGGTCCCCAGGTCTACCCCTTGGCCTCTTCCTTTCAAACTCATCTGATTTTATTAAGCGTTTTATTTTCTGTACCCTGAAAAAAAAATCGAGTCTTTTGTTCCGTTTGCAAATCCTCCGATAAGAAGATTTATGGGTTTTTTATGAATGTTGAATGTATTTACTTCTCAAGACAGTGTAGGCAGTTGTGTTTTAATTGTTTTGTTTAGCTACCAGGTGTATTCCAATTTGCATACAAAGGTATTATCATATGGCAAAGTAAGATTAGGAGTTGTAGGAATTAGGAATAAGAGCTGGATTATTTGGTTATTTGATGTCAAAACTCTACTAATTTAACTATGCTCGATCCCAAATTAGTTGACGTCAGCTGCATCAATCATACTTTGATTTCTTTAATGTTGTTCGTTAATGACCGAACACAATCCTCCTCATTTATGTTGTCTTGGAACTGGTTATGTTTTGCATATTGGCAATTTTGGGTCCAGAAAACTAAAGCTCCAAAATGGGATTAGTTTTGGCTACTCATTTTGCCTTCTTATCAATAAAGATCTAATTTTTATAGACATCTAATGTATCTCCATTTCCCAAGATTTGGGACATATGCATATCTCTGCTTTCCTTGGTTGATATGACTTTATGAGCTGATATAGTCTCGTGCTGTTCTTGTGTCCGAGTTAGATGGTATCAGATTCCAATAGAAAATAAACAAATGGAGAAACAAGGATATGGATTTGCTTTTTCTTCATATTACAGATAGTAGTTGCTGGCTTCAAATACACATCTATAGTTGTAGAATTCGGCCATTTAAGACGGACATTAGAAGTGTCATTTCATGTATTAGGCATGTTTGGGAGGTTGGAGTGAATTGGCTGGATAAAATCTGCAGCTTTCAACATTGAACTTCATGTTTCAGTGTGCTGGAAATCCAGCCTCCCATATTCTTTATAGTTGAAGCTCTGAGCTAGAGATGTCCTTTTCTGTTGGCGGTTTTGCATCTCATTAGATCAATTAAGGTACTGTTTGCTATATTATTGCTTGACATATATGTCACTTTTGTCCTCCTATTTCGTCAGTCTAATTTTCTTGATCTTTATCTTAATACTATCGGACACCCAAATAATTAGTGAACCTTCTTAAGTGACCGTTAATTGACATGCTAGAGTATATACATAGAGGTTAGGATGAGTATCCCAATGGCTTCTCAGCTTGTCCTTCTCTACTCTCTTTTAATAGATATTTGAATTGTTATATGACAGAGAGAACTGAATGGAGATAATCAATTGTGAAGTTCAATGATTCTGCCAAATACTGCTTTCTACTGAAATTGGTCTTGTTGGGTAGAGATTGTGAATAGAGGCGGGTGGACCTTGGATTTGTTCAGACACAGAGCATAGATATACATATGAACCCAACGCCATAGTTTCAAATGTACAATTGGTTCAATCATACGAACCTTTAAGGTTACACCCGTCAAGTTCAAACTTTGGATTCGTCTCTGATTGTGTACATGCATTGTTTAGAGAAATGAGTTTGCATCATTCGTATGGAGCATGCAACACCAGATACTAACACATTTTTTGAAGAGGGCAAATCATGCATCTTTCATAATCTGGAGCTAATAGGTCACTCTCATAGGCAACCATGAAAGTGGAATTAAAAGGATGATTTTTGGTCAGGTTTCTTCGGTCATTTGTTATCCAAGGAAGTCGAATGAACCCTCTTTTCTCTTTCTGGGGGACAAAACCCTCTTATATAGTGTTAAATTTGACTTGAGCGTAAAAAAATTGAATATGTCTAATGAAATGTTATTTGAAGATTTCTTTTTATGCGGAGCTAAATCTAATGACAATGATCCCGTTCGATTACACATCAAAAACACCTACTTTTGTGGCATCTTGGCATAAAACGCTATACAGTTTAAGATCAGAGAGTACTAGTTAAACCAAAGAAAACAAAAACCCCAAATCCAAACAAAACAGAAGGCATGAATTGCAAACTTCGCTAATGTTGTAGATAGTTAGACCTTTGCTTGTGTGCAGCTAATTGGAAGCAGAGGAAGATGACGTAGTAATTCTTTATTTCTTTTCCAAGTGGATTTAATTAGCAGATAAATTGATAAACAAGAAAAGACAAGACATCAATCTGACTCGCACAAAATTCGAAAGTTAAAGAGTCCTTACCTCTCGAATGCGATCATTGACAATTATGTTCCTTCTACTGCAGGATGTTTGCTTCCTCTCCTATGTATCTTTCATTTCATTAGTTATTTTACTTTCCTTTCCATCCAAACAAAAATTCCAAGACTAAGAAAGAACGGCATATCTGCGCTATTGCCACACTCGTCACAGCAGTTGAAAAGAGGAGAAAACTATTTTTCCGTCACTTCGGCATATAAGGTAAGTACACGAGATTTTAACAAGAAACAGTTCAAACATCAATATATTAGCGATGAATCACGATTGTCACCAGGAAAAATGGTGTCAAGACATGAATGATGATTATCAGAAACTGAGCAATGGCAATCCAAATAAATCCTCACATTTTCCAATTTTGACTCGAAGTCTGACATTTATTTTTGAAATTCTGGGTTTGCAGCTCACAACTACTAAACGGAGAAATTTACATGAGCAGCGTCCCATGCCAATCCCCATTTCTCTGAACATCAAACCAGCAAAAAATATTTAATGTTTCATTGTTCAATGTTAGTGAAGCAGAAGGAATCACTAAGAAAAAAAGACGATACTGTTTCTGACTGTCCTCGCATGCCTGCAGTTTCTGAATCTGCAAATCAATATATGACAATATTCAATCAAATGGCAAAATTTACAAATATAAATCCTAGTAAAAACATATAGGTTGAGCTTCAGCAAGTCGTTACCAATATCAAAAACATGATTCAATTTTAATCACTGAATGTTTATGACGAGAAAAGCACAGACAAAAGTATCAGTGAATTGGAATTACTTGCAATTTACAACAGATGGCCTGTATTATACAGCAGTGCCACTTTGCTGAAATTACTTAAATAGCTCAAAATTTTCCAAAAGTCAGAGGTCCAAAATTATTCTTCTATTATGTACAAAAATTACTGGACCTTTTTTATCTTTATTTTCGGTGTTGAAATTTTGAATGATGGCCAAAATTAACTTTAAAAGAAATTGCATCATTCACTTTTCTTCCTTTTTTCTGGTTGGGGATTCTTGTTTTCCCATTTTTTCCTCGGGAAGA